CCGGATCGGCATCTGTGTTTGCAGCCTCCAGAGACAGGCTAATGACTGGACAAAGCCGGGGATTAGGCTCCCCCTTGCCCTTCTGCAGCAATACGCCCATTGGAACGGGATTTGGGGTGAAGGGGAAAGCAGCATTGAGAAGCAGTGTCTCTTGCCGGCATGCATCCCACCCTGGCTTGACTAGGGGGCTGAAATTCACAGGGCTTTTAAACCAACACCTTTGGCAATCATGAGAAAAAACCTTGCAAGTCCCCTAAAGATGGGGTATATCTTGCCGTATATTGAAGCAATAAGACATGACAGGCACTTTATTTCATCAGGGCTGCGCACCTTATGCATTTTGTGGCAGAAGGCCAAAGCACAAATGACTTCAACTCTCAGGAATATTCTTCCATAAATGCATTAAAACCCTGGCCACTGACTTATTAGTACTAAGAAATGAAAATTACCTGAGAACCGAGGAGGAAGGAAGATGTCCTAAGAGAGGTCCCTAGGGGTCAGGCACCCTGACAGCCTATAAGAGACTTCCATTTGCAAATAATGTTCCAAAGACACATCCTCATCCAGTCCTCCTGGAAAGGTCTCTGAGATTTGAGAGCAACTGCCTCTTCCTGTCCCACCAAAGGGCGAGGGTCAAAGGGCGGCTTGGAAGGTGAGGGTTTCACTCACGTGGAGATCCTTAGCCAGCTGCCCGCCTTGGATGATCAGCATTTTCCCAAAACAATCACAAGAGGGCTTGCAATTGGGTTCATAGAGTTGTTTCTTTAAAAATAATTCTGAGCCAATTTGGCTTTTAAAAATCTGCCTTTGAAGAGGAAGGCTCCAGGGTGGTTGTACTCTGGCCCTTCTCCCAGAGAGAGGCACATTTCTAGATGATGAGAGAACTTCAGGTGGGAATGTTACTCTGGCTTTGTGCCTTAAAATATGACCTAAGGCAAGCTATCATTTCCCAGAAATGAAATATGTCATATTTTACTATTAAAGTGAAGCAGGGGAAAAAAGAGCACTCTATTATAATAATGGTTTTTGTTTAAAAAAATTTAAATGTCAAATCCCCAAAGGAATAATACATATCTGATACTATTATTGGAACTGTAATACCAGTAATCGTATGAGGTACTTACATTTAGTATTGTTCATACAGTAAAGGGATTTTCATGTAAATCTTTCTGTAGAATTACAGTGTCAGAGGAAAATGAGGAGCAGCACCACGCATTATTCATGCAATCAATGCACATTCATTGGGAAGGAGTGTGTGTCAGTCATGAGTCTAAATCCTGGGGATGCAGACATGAGGTCTAGAATATTCCCTTGCCTTCAACGAGCTCACAGTCCAGTCAAGGGATCAGAGCACCTAACTATGAAACAGTTGTCACCACAGACATAATAGAGATTCCAGGAGGGCTGTGGATGGCATGGCATGGAACTAACAATTAGTTCAAACAAGGAGTCTGGCCTGCCCAGCTAAGCTGAACCTCAAAACATGATATGTACGATTTCAGGGGCAAATGGAAGAGAACAAGCCAGAAAATCACAGTACACATGAAAGGAACAGATAAATAAAATCACCGCCCATTTGGTGAGTGTTTTGTGTGGTTGCAGAGGTAAGCCTGTCAAACTGTCTAATGTCAAATGATGAAGTACTTTGAATGAAGAAAAACACTTAAATGACTTTTGAGCAGTATAATTTTAGGGAATGAATATATTTTACATTATATTCTATAGGACAAAAGCATGAGAGTAAGAGGCAAAATGCCATGAGACAGAACTGTCATTTTCATTGTGACTCATCTGTTAACTTATGAAAATACACTTACATCAAGAAACACAAGAAGATTGCTCGCTTCACATATTCATGGGTGGATTGAACCTAATTTTGTAGCATTAAAACCAATTTTCCACTGAGAAAACATGTCACAGAGGATTGCATGAACCTTTATAATGATTAATATTTGATATTTCAATGTCACCTTTCATCCTGAGATGTCCCGTGCACATGGGAACAGATAAGCTCCAAGGAAACAGTGTTAATAGAATATGTCACAACGCTTTCTATTTCCGTATTCTAAAGGCTTTCTGGCCATGCACTTCTCTCACCTTTAATGTTAGTGTGGAGTAAGGCAGTGGTTTTCCCCATTGGGTCCTACTGTGGGAAGTCTTAAGCTGGAATATGAATGACATCTTTTTATCTACAGTTCTTGTAGGATGAAATTTGACATGGCCATTCCTCTTCTTTGCTTTGTTACCTCTGCCCTCATCCTGCGTTGAGAACATACCAGGAACTGGCTGTGTCTTTGGAGAGTTCACCACCACCACCACCACCACCACCACCACCACCACCACCACCACCACACTCTCACTGTGCCACCACTTATAAAGCACTCAGTGGATGCCTATCTTGATCTGTTGTTCTATACAGAACCCATATCTACTAATTTGATGGCAGCATTAACAGGTTGTGCTGCCCACTAGATCCTTCTGTGATCATGGAAGTATTTTGTGTTATCAAATACAGTAACCACTGCCACATATGGCCATTGATTAGTGCTACTGAGAACTAACCACATGTATCTTTTTTTTTGTTGTTTTGTTTTTTGTTTTTTTCCGAGGAGGGTTTCTCTGTGTTGCTTTGCACCTTTCCTGGAACTCACTCTGTAGCCCAGGCTGGCCTCAAACTCACAGAGACCCACCTGGCTCTGCCTCCCGAGTGCTGCTGGCATTAAGGGCGTGGGCCACCACCACCTGGCATAACCACACGTATCTTATGTTTCATCTTAGTTAAATCCATGGCACTAATACTGAGACTGGTAGTGTTAGTGCTGGTCAGCATAGTTGTAGTAACTAGTGGTATTTATTGTTGTTATTATTAATTGTTTTACAGAAAGAGCTGGAGGGATGGCTCAGCATGTAAGAGTACTTGCAGAAAACCTGAGACTGATTCCCAGCATCCATGCTGAGGCTTACAACAACCTGTAACTTTCCAGCTCTGGGGGATCTGATGCCCTCTTCTGGCCTTCATGGGTGGGAACACACACAATAAAAATTAATAATCCTCTAAAACCAAACCACACCCCAAAAGATGAATTTTATCATGTCAATATTTATCGTTTATCAAAGGCTAGAGTGAGGAAGGGGCCTGAAATGTTCTTGAAGCTGTAACTGCTTGCAAAGGAGTCCTACATTCTACTTTTGGAGACCTTTTAGACTAGCCTTCTTCCTTTCTGTTAAAAGCAGAATTTTAAAACTTCTGTAGAATAAGTAGAATAACCAAGTGCTTTCCAAATATTCTTTGTTTGGAAAGGCATGGTTGATGTCTTAAATGAAACTTAAATGTTCTTCAACCACCCCAAGTGGTCCCCAAAGACAAGCACTGACTAGACAGAGAGAGACATTCCCTTTCACTTCTGAAGTAGGACAAGGGAAAAGGACTTCACGTTTTGAGTGTCCATGGGAGTCTTCAGTACGTCTTCCCATTAAAATCCACCTCCCTGGGATTTTTGCCTTGGTGGGAAAATATGGAAATAAGCTTCTGTAAGCAGAGACACTGATTGGAAGACTCAATTACATCTCCCCACGGTAGTCTGCACTGCAAACTTCTGGCTATCGATAGAGAAAAAACTTAAGTAGCCCTTGGATTGAACCATCTGTCGGGAAAATGTGGCATATGCTTCTTTGTTTATTCAACTACCAAGTGTAAACTGATACACTGAACTGGAAATCTGTGTCTGGTGTGACTGACTGTGATGCTGGAGGAGGGATTCCTGGTGAAGGCACCAGCCACTTCATACCTGCCCCTGAGGAACACGGTGCAAAGCAAAGGAGGAGCTAGGACCAGCGGGATGTCCCCTGGGTTTCTGTAGCTCACTAAGGCGCAGACACCCGTTGAGGACTCCAAACAATGCACTGCGCCACACTAGCAGCCACCACAGCTGAAGGGCACGCCTGGCTGGTGTGTTCTTGAATGGAGAGCGACCCATGCCTCCTCCTCTTTTCCCTGCCCTTACAACCCGGCCTCAAACTTAAACTAAAGCCCGTGCCCTTTTCAATTAACCCCCTGGATCAAAAGGAGCGTTTCTTTTCTGTCCTTCTTGGCGGTCCATTGTCTGTGGTGATGGGTTTGCAGATTTGACAGCTGGGCTCATAGATTTGATTCAAACTCGATTTTCCTGAGAGATGAACTTGGGACACAGAAAAGATCTCCAACAAGCCCCGAGCAGCGAGCTGGTTACCCACCACTGCGGACTGTACTCTAGACAGATCTCTGGAACCCTAAGGGACAGCGGATGTCACTTCAGCAGCATCGCTAGGGCGACTCTTGAAGTTGGGGTTGGGGACTATGGATGTGTTCTGCTTATACAATTTTTTTTTTTTAAATTTACTCTTGGAACAGTCAAGATGGAGGTCACCTTATAAATTATCTAAAGCTGGGTCTGACCAGACTTCAGTGCAGTGGGGCTGGGGGCTTTGCTTTGTCTCGCTGTCCGAGAGGTGTGTAGGCTCACACAGGCATGGATCTATGGGTGGGTGCATCCCAAGATCGCTGCTCAGGGCTTAGGTCTCAGTGAGTCTGTAGCTTGCCGAGTCTTGAGTCACAACCGCCAATGACGTGGAGAAAAAAAAAAACAACTTTGTGTTCTAAAGGGTCTGGATGGATTGCTGTTTTGCACTAAAGAAAGAGTCCTTGTGCACTGAAAGGTGGGGGGTGTGCAGTCTCGGCGGCTGCTGCGGGTCCTACGCCTGCGTGCCTGTTGGCTTTGGGTCCCACCGCCAGTCAGCCTGTAAGTCTACTGTGGCGGACAGTGGAGCTGCGCTTCATGGAGGAGCTGGCTCTGCGCTGCCGGGCGACCGGAGCAGAAGCAGGCTGAGGGTCCTTTGGCCAAAACCAATCTGGGCACGCTACCCTCCCACCGCTTCCAATAACCGCTGACATCCCTAACGGGCACTGAGCCTGGGCAGGGCGCGGGGGGGGGTAAGGGGGGGGTCTGCTCGGAAATCGTCCTGGCCAACTCTGTCCTCCGAGCTGTAGCAGATTATGGCATCTTTTTTCCCTCTAGCGCGAGAAAGTGAGCCCGGAAAAGGAAAGAGGGGGCGGGTCACCCCCAAAGAATAAATAAACACTAGCTACTCGCCGCAGCTGGACGCGGGTCGGTTCAGTCCAGGTTGGTGGCATTTAGAGTTTTCTTATTCTACTTGAGAACCCATCGCTACCTCCCCTTCAGCCACCCCTTTCCATTTTGCTGGCATCCTCCAACTTTGGGGCCAGGGGGGCGCTAGTGGTGCGGGGCTGCACCTGCTGGGGCGTGCAGATGCTGCGGGCTAGCTGGCTCTCCCGGGGCAGTGGTGTGGATGCGCAGGAGTTCGGGCGCTGGGCAAGTGCGTGTGAAGGCACCGATGTCTGGGAAGGAGCCCAGGATGCGTGGCGGGTAGGAGCAGGGGCGCCGAAGCCAGGTTTCAGCTTCAGGCGGGATGTCCATTTCTTCTTGCGGGACTGCTTGGGAAAAGAGGCTAGCCCGGGGGTGGGGGTGTCGGCGACAGAGGTGGCGATTGGTGGCCGGGATGCAGAGGGCCCGAGGCAGAGAAGCTAGGACGTTTACAATCGAGCCAGCGAGTGGTCGGGCGGGAGCCAGGAACCGCGGCCAACTTCCCGGAGCAGGGTCTCGGTCCAGCCGGGGCTGGCTAAGGAGCCTTCGCCGCCGAGGCTCCGACTCCGGGCAGCGCCAGCTTGCTTCCGGCGCTTGCTCGGAAAGTAATGCTTATTTATTTGCTTGCGTTCAGCCTCTTGGGTTGTGCGGGATAGCCTCCGGCTTTGGACGTAGGGAGCCCTAGCAGACCTCTCCAGACCCAAACCGCGGGTTCCGGAGCCTCCCCACGCCCGGAATAGATGCACTCCCCCCCACCCCCCCGCTCTCAGACCCGAGTGGGGGTTGCGTTGAGAAGTCCCCCAAGGCGGGAGCGGGGGAGGGGAGAGAGGTGGGAACGCTAGGCTTCCGCACTCCGGGCTCTCACTTCAAAGCTCTCTCTCCCTTCCAGGTTTGGTCGGAACTGAACCCCTAAAGCGGGTCCGCCTCCCGCCCTCGCGCCCGCCTGGGGCTGAGTCGCTGGCTGCGGTGGGCGGCAGAGCGACGGGGAGTTTCCTCTCACCCTGGATGGAGCTGAACTTTGAGTGGCCAGAGGAGTGCGGTCGCCCGGGAATCGCTGCACGCTGAGCTCTCCCTGCGAGACCCAGCGGCGGCTTTGGATTTGGGGGGGCGGGGACCAGCTGCGCGTCGGCACCATGTTTCTGGCCACTCTGTACTTCGCGCTGCCACTCCTGGGTAAGTCGAGGCCACCGCTGGCTTTTTCACCCACAATCTTTCCAAAAAGGTCCCTTGCAGAGGCCACTCCAGAACTGCGGCGCGAGTGCCTTGGATGGGGGTGGAAGAAGTTTCCCTGGGAGGTGAAGAGGTTCGAGGGTCCCTGGGCTTGGGAAGCGGTGGCAGCGCAACTCTGCGCGGTTGGTTTTATTTTGCTGTGTTAAAAAAAAAAAAATAATCTAGCTCGATGGGGATCTGAGGGGTCCTAGACCTTCACCCCAGGGCATACGCCTAGGTCCCCTTGGAAGTCACAAAGAGCTTGCTGAGCTGAGCTCCGGCAGGTGGAGTGTGGTCAAAAAACCCTGAGGTCGGGAGAGAGCAAACTTGGAATGGAAAACTTTTCTGGGAATAACGTCTCAGCGCACCCGCGGGGCAGACTGCCATTGGCCTGCCTCTCACCAAGCTCGCTACCGGTGCCAAGCGTTCCAGCGGAGGGCCCTTGGGCTGCTGCGAACTGGCTAGCCAAGAGACTGCAGCCCCAGGTGCCCGAGGAGGCGGGGCAGCCAGCGGTTCAGGGCCGCTTCTGCTTTGGGGCGCTGGGGCGGTGCAGGATCCTCAGCAAATCCCGCAAAGGCGGCCAGCAGAAGCTGTTACTACCTTCCTTGGTGGGCCAGGGACCAGCTTCCTATCTAGTCTGCCCCTCATAACGATGGTCGAGCTATCATGCTCCAGGGCGTGCGCCCCCTCTCTCGCCCCTTCTGGGACCTAGACTCAGGGTCCCCATTAGTCTGCTGCACTCAAGGTTTCTTCCATTCACCCCGTAGATTTGCTGCTGTCGGCCGAGGTGAGTGGTGGGGACCGCTTGGACTGCGTGAAAGCCAGTGATCAGTGCCTGAAGGAACAGAGCTGCAGCACCAAGTACCGCACACTAAGGCAGTGCGTGGCGGGCAAGGAAACCAACTTCAGCCTGGCATCTGGTCTGGAGGCCAAGGATGAGTGCCGCAACGCCATGGAGGCCCTGAAGCAAAAGTCTCTCTACAACTGCCGCTGCAAGCGGGGCATGAAGAAAGAGAAGAATTGTCTGCGCATCTACTGGAGCATGTATCAGAGCCTGCAGGGTATGCATCAACCGCCCCCACCAGCATGCCGGGGTTCCTCTCGGAGGTCAGGAGGCAACCTCAGTCCAGTTGGCCTCGGCCTTGGGGTTAAGCCGGCTGATCTCATCATCCACTCTCTTCTCCCAGCTGCGGAATGAGGACCTTTCATTGGCCCCTAGGGACAGCAGCAGCTGGTGTTGGTTGCAGCTGAGCAGTATTGTTGGAAGATCCACGAGGGGGTGGGGGCACCCCTGGGATCCCATTGACCTTTGTGAAACCCAGTCAGAACATCAGAGTGGGGACCCCTTAAATGATACCTAAGGAACCCACTTCTCTGCCAGCCTGGAGCTTTCACTGGTTTTAGAGAGTAAGCATGCAAAGGCCTGCCTGCATCTTGCTTGGAGTTTTCCTACTTTATTCCCTTACGACATGAGATAAAGAAGTATTGCAGGGCCAGAGAACTCGGCTCTGTCTTCACCCCCGCACGCCGGTTCAAACATTGATGTGTGAGAAACCATTTGTCATCTGAGATTAGTTGAGTTTTGGACCAGCTGCTGAGGTTTAACCATGGTTAGCACACAAGTAGCAGTCACAACTGCCCATTCCAATGGGACTTAGGGAGTCTGTAAATGCACCACATGGATCCCATACCTTCATTCTTCATGAGACTCACTGAACATTTGTAATGCAGAAGCTCGAACTGTCAGCTGCCACTTCTAAAATCTAGTCATGAAAACCTGCTTTTAGGGTCAATCTTACGAACAGCCAGTGTTCCTGCTTGCAGGTCATATGCCTTGGTTTGGGGGAGCTAACAGAAATAGGGGCCTCTCCTGGTCACCTTTCTTCCATTGGTTCCTGGAGGCAAGCAAGTTTGTGACGTCACTGATTCTTTCCTCTCAGATTTCGATTCCTTTGCAGAGTGGGAGACTTCCCTGGCAAGCTCAGGCTGGGTTGTGCTCCAGTATTTTCAAGGCACTCTGGGGAGAGCAAGGACAGCAAAGGCAGAGGAATGAAAAAGGAATAATTATGTCCCCAAACATACATATGAAATCTTTGAGAGTTTCAGCATCTTCTAGGTACACAGTCATAACATGATTAGGGGGTTCCAACTGAGCAGAGAAACACTATTTGAAATATGCCCGTTTTCCAGAGCTGAGCCTAATCTTCCTGTCATTTCTAGGAAATGATCTACTGGAAGATTCCCCATATGAGCCAGTTAACAGCAGGTTGTCAGATATATTCCGGGCAGTCCCGTTCATGTCAGGTAAGCTGATTCATACTTCCACTGCAACCCCTTTGCCAGCTTGGGTCTGCTGGCTTGCCTTCTCTTGCGCTCTCACATGCTGCGTGTTTCTGGGAAGTCGGAGGTAGGGTGATGATAATGAACAGGCGGAATGCCTAGCAATGCACATGCGAGAGAGAGAGAGAGAGAGAGAGAGAGAGAGAGAGAGAGAGAGAGAGAGAGAGAGAGTAGTTCTCAATGAGGTGATGTGGTGTGGTGGATTGGAAGAGTCTGGAGGGAGGTGACTGAGTGGATTTTTTTTTTTAAACAATAAAATATGATTGGCCAACACTTGGCAAAGGGAGTGCTACTTGTGTCTGTAGGTGGCAATCATATTCTGGCCACTGCATACCTTACACAGTGCCTTTGTGGGATGGGATTTGCTTTCCTGTTGCCCCTGTCTTCAGGAAACAGTGGAGATAACCTCAAACTGTTGGGAGATAACTTGACTGCCTGTGATTTAAAAGTTGATGTTCTTCTGTTTGTTTACATCCTTCTCTTTCTTACTTGTTGTGAGCAAGTGCGTGCCCTTCTGAGAGACTACACCTCTGTCCCAATGGCCCTTTAAAATTTAGTCTTGTTACTCTTGGCTTATTTGGACTCTCTTTGCAGTTCTGAATTTGGTTTGGAAGTGAACTGAAGTTTGAGAATTAAGGGTTTGGGGGTTTTGTTTTTATTTTTCCACAACATCTGCATTCAGACAGCCCACATATAATAGGGAAGGCAGTAATTTCTCTTAATGAAATACAGATTCCAGACTGGTGCTGTCTTATTTTTTTATTTATTTGCAGTTAAGACATTTCTCAAGTACATACAACCACCACAAATTACACGAGTCTTGGCAGTTAAACACGATGGTTAGTGTTGAATCTGATTCTCTGAGGTGATGGCTTGTTGATAAGAATCTTCTGGTGTTTTAGATGCCTTAGGCTTTTAGCACAAAGGCACAGAACAAGGGAGTATGTACATCTTGATACTGTGTGTGTTGTGTGTGCACTCATTGGCCAAATAGCCACTGGACAACTACTGTGTTCTCCACATTGTGGTTTTGGCAGTGAGCCAGCCTTCATCCTGGTCCTTGTGAATCTTAGAGGCAGCTGCTGACATTTACTGAGCCCTTACTATATGCCAGGCATTGTGTCTGGAGCTTCTCATCATTGACTCACACCATCATGTGCATTTTAGGCATTGTTTCTAGTCTATAGATGAGCAGATTGAGGCACGGGGATGGTGGGAGCTAGCATGTGATCACAGAGTTCATAAATGTAAGAATCAGAATTCAAAGCCAGATTTGTTTGATCGTAAGGTGTTACATGAGTCCTAAATGGTCTTATAGTAAAAACCCGTTGCCCGATATTGGGGTAAATCCTGAAAGATCAGAGAGATAAAGGAACAAGCCACTGCCACATTTTACCTCTAGGACTCCTCAGCCTGAAAAGCCTCTAGTTCCTGTCTCCTCACGCCTTATATCGCTTTCTCTGCCCAGCCATCGCTTCCTGGGATTAAAGGCATGTGTGCTTCCTAAGAAAAGGCATGAGATCTCAAGTGCTGGGATTAAAGGTGTGTGATTCCCAAGTACTGGGATTAAAGGTGTGTGCCACCACTGCCTGGACCTGTATGTTTAATCTAGTGGCTTATTCTGTCCTCTGATCTTGAGGCAAATTTTATTAGGGTACACAATATATAAGCACAGTAAGGTGTTTTGTTTTGATCTACCCGTTGTTGGCACAGACTGGCATCCTTAATGTAGAAGTTAGAATCTCAGGTTGCATCCAAACTATTGACTCAGAATCTGGCTTTTAACAAGATCCACCTGGATAGGTCTTTCGTGGGTACATGAAGCTTGTGATGCACTTCTATATATGATTTTCCCTTTGGTCTTTTGGTTTAAAGGAAAACTCTCTGTGTCTCTCTCTATCTCTGCTCCTCTCTGCTCCCACCCCGTGTGTGTGTGTGTGTGTGTGTGTGTGTGTGTGTGTGTGTGTGTGTGTGTGTTTTGGAGTAAGATATGAGACTATAAGTTTGTTTCTGGACCTTCGTGATCTCTTGAATTTTATGGTAATTCACACTCTAAATCTTGACTGTTTCTCTCTGCCCTGCAAGGACAGTGTCTTAAGCAGTGAGAGTTGCATGGACAGTGTTGTGAAGGGGCTAAGATGGGGTGTAACGGATAGGGTTCTGGGGGCCTGACTTCTACCCCTCCTACCTTCTGCTTGCCATGAGACCATCACTTCCCACCGATAGCCATTTTGATTTTAATTTCACAATTGCAGTGAGCTATGTATGGAGCTTTGCACACGTTCCTGTCTGATGCCGTGTCACTTATCTCTCCTTGGTATAATGAGGCAATTGGAGTAAGTGATCTCCAGTTCACCAGTCTGCAATACTGAAGGAAGACTGAGATCACCCCAGCATCTCTCCCCCAGCTCCCATGCTCCTGTACCACCTCTGGAACAGCAAGGGCGTTCCTGAGTATCACCAATTTGTCTAAATTCCCTTAATGAGTATCAGAAAAATCTTCTGTATTGACCACATTTCTCTTATTCATTTACTGGATAAACAAACTCAGTCACGTCTATTTTCACAGCAAACAGGATCCCGAGTGTGCGAGATCCATCCTGTTGAGTACCTAAAAGTCATAATGAATTAAGCAGAGGCAGGAAGGCTTTGTTTAGAGCTTGCATTTGATATCTCGAGGGCATTGGACTTAGGTTCTAGCCCCAGAGAGCTCTGACCTTTGACAGTGGCTGTGTTCCTTAAGTGGATGTAGTAAAGCCGAATGGAGCCTTGAGGGGTTTGGAGTCATTGAATATGGCACATTAGCCAGTATGGTCTCTGTCAGATGGAGGCTGGAAAAGCAGAATGATAAATGTAGGTTTTCACAGTTGGAGTCTGAGTTTGTAGAGTATGTTCTGTGTAGGGCATGTCTCTGAGGCATCCAGGACAGCAGGGTCTCTGAACCCTACCGATGAAGGTAGCCATCAGGGATCCCATGTTTGGGTTACCCAGCCTGGTATGAGGAGTATGTTTATCCACATAGAAGTGGCAGCTGAATCTTCCAGCAGACTAAGCCACATTTTGAAAGTCTTGGAGTGAAGATTGCTTAGTGAGTTAAGTGCTTGCTGAATGAGTATGAAGAACTGTGTGGGTCCTCAGCACCCCCACAAAAGCTGGAGCCAAGTGATACACATCTATAACCTCATCGTTGAGGAGGGGAAAGCTGAGACGGGCCAATCCAGAGAACTCTATGGCCAGCCAGACCGGCCAGCCACCAAGCTTCAGGCTCAGTGAGAGACTCTATATCAAAAAAATAAAGTGGACAGAGTTACGGGAAGATACCCAGCATGGGTCTCTGGCCTTTACACACACAGATATGGCTGAGTTCATCTGTACACACAGAAGCATGCCTGGCCCCCTCGAAGATATGTTTGTTTACATTTTCTTTGGAGTCTTCAAACCCAAGCTGTCTTGCTAACTGGATAAAAGGCCTTGTGGAGATACTACATGTGGCCCGGCAGGAACAAGGAAGAGAAGTACAACCTTAAGATAAAATATAAAATGGTTTTCTCTTCTGAAGCCTGAACTGTGAAAGGGAACTGGAGCTGCTGAGTCAGGCCCGTATTTTAGTGGACAGTTGGCAGGCCTACACTTGTGAAAATTTGATTGTGGGAGTCTCTGGTCTCTGAGGCATGCAAAGGGCCTTGAGGAGGCATGTTGACTGTGGACTCTGCCAGTATGGTTTCCAAGGGTATAGGGCCTAAATGACACAAAGGAGAAAATGGGCCAGTGTGGCAAAATGTTGGCATAGATGGGAAGACATGGAGAGTCTCCTGGGAGCCCAGAGGTCAGAGCTGTGTGTGCACATGGAAGTCCAGACACTAGGCTTCATCACGTAGTACTCCACCTGCCCTTCTCTCTTGGCCACAGCCCTCTGCCTGTTAACTTCTGATCTACTTCCTGTTTTCTCCACAAGGGTTCAGTCAACTGCAGTAACTAGAAATGGACATTTAAGGATGGTGAACCTACTGGCATTTCTTTCCTTTGACTCTCCAGAACAGGAGGACTATGCATGGAGAAAATTTGAAAGTTCACTGGGTGCCAAGAGAAGCCTAAGAGTGGAGGGAGGCATAAAGCCCCTCCGGGGCAGAAAAAGTAAAAGAAGCTACAAGGGTTTGTGTTCATCAGGAGTTTGCACTTTAGAAATAGTCACGAGCTGCTGGGCTCTCCACACAGAGAATCAGTGTGGACAGTGGAGTGTATAAGAGTCAGGTGGAGAGTTTGTGAGGAAAGAGGTGTGTCAGAGCTGGGACTTCCTGCAGATGACTTGGTGAGAGATGACAACCCAGACCATGTCTGCCACCCCTCCCCTCACAGACCTTACAGATGTCTCAAGATATTTCCAGAAATACCGGGACTTTCACTTTAGTGCCTGTGTGATTGGGAATGGCTTAACCCAGGAATGAGATGTGCCCAGGCTGTCTTGAGCCTGGATTTCTGGATAAGGTAATTAGCTGTGCTTGTTATTTAATCTTTATGTCACTGCTTTTAAAAAAGCTCTGTTACAACCTTGGCCCATTGGAGAAGAGTCTTATGATGTGGTGGTATTGTGTTCCCTGAAATATTGTGCACCCTAATGAACTTATCTGGGTTCAGAGACAGAACAGCCACAATATTAAACATAGAGGATAGGCAGTGGTAGCACCTTTAATCCCAGCACTTGGGAGGCAGAACTAGGCAGAAATCCATGTGTTCAAGGATACAGCCAAGCATGGTGACTCATGCCTTTAATCCCAGAAAGCGAGCCTTTAATCCCAGGGAGTGGTGTTAGAAAGCAGAAAGATATATAAGGCGTGAGGACCAGAAACTAGAAGCATTTGGCTAGTTAAGCATTTGGCTGGTTAAGCTTTCAGGTTTTGAGCAGCACAGTTCAGCTGAGAACCATTTGGATATGAGGACACAGAGGCTTCCAGTCTGAGGAAACA